GCATCTTCAGAAAGCAGAAAAAGTTAGCTTCTCAAAGTCAAGAAAGACATACAAAGTTGAAAAGTTAGAATTGGTGCATACAGATATTTGGGGGCCATCCCCAATACAATCCCTTGGAGGATCACGCTATTATGTCACATTCATTGATGATTCTATAAGAAAGGTATGGGTTTATTTTCTTAAAAATAAATTTGATGCGTTTTCTGTATTTAAAATATGAAAAGCAGAAGTTGAAAATCAAATAGGTTTAAAGATTAAAAGTCTAAAATTTGTTAATTGTGGAGAGTATAATAGCAAGGAGTTTAAGGACTTATATTAAAAAAATGGGATGAAAATGGTTAAAACAGTACCAGGTACACTCGAACAAAATGGTGTGGCAGAAAGAATGAATAGAACCCTAAATGAGAGAGCCAGATGTATGTGGATCCAGTCTGGCTTACCTAAAATGTTTTAGGCAGAAGCAATAAATACAACATCTTACCTCATAAATAGAAGACCGTCAGTTTTCTTGGATTATCAATTACCTGAAGAAGTATGGTCTGGAAAGAAGGTAAAAATTTCACACTTGAGAGTTTTTAGTTGTGTCTTATATGTTTTGATAGACTCTGGCAATAGAGATAAATTAGACCCCAAGGTAAAATAGTGTTATTTTAGCAGTTATGGATCTGACATGTATGACTACAAGTTTTGGGATAACCAAAACAAGAAAATTATTAGAAGTAGAAATGTTACTTTTAATGGTACAAGTTCTATAAAGATAGATATGCGGAATCTATGGGTGCAACAAGATTGCCAAAACTTTTTGAAAGTGTAGAACTGAAAGAAATTTTAAAAAGTGATGTAGCTAATAGAAGGTCAGATACAGAGGAAGAACCTGAATGAGAATCAGAACCAGAGCCCACAACAATGCCAGAAATCCCTATGACCTAATTGAGGAGATCTACTAGAGTACCAGTAACACTGCAAAAGTATTCTCCTTCATTGCATTATTTATTATTAACTGATGCTGGTGAGCCAGAATATTTTGTAGAAGCCATGCAGGAGAATGACTCTATTAAGTGAGAGTTAACAATGAAAGATGAAATGATATCTCTTCAAAAGAATTGAACATGGTCATTAACTAAGCTACCATAAGGAAAAAAAACCTTGCAGAACAAGTGGGTTTATAAGTTAAAAGAAGAACCTGACAGTAGTAGAAGATACAAAGCGAGACTTGTAGTGAAAGAGTTTCAACAGAAATAGGGAATTAACTTCACAAAGATTTTCTCTCCTGTTATTAGGATGACTACCATTAGAGTTATCTTGAGTATTGTAGCTGCAAAGAATCTTTACTTGGAGTAATTAGATGTTAAAAGTGCATTCCTTCATGGGCATCTAGAGAAAGATATCTATATGGTACAATCATAAGGTTTTGAAGTTCCAGGCAAGGAGAATCTTGTATGCAAACTTCACAAAAGCTTGTATGGCTTGAAATAAGTACCAAGACAGTGGTACAAGAAGTTTAATGAGTTTATGAGCAACTCTAAATTTCACAGATGTTATGTAGATCATTCCTGCTATGTTAAGAAGTATGTTGATAGTTATGTCGTTCTTGCTTTATATGTTGATGACATGTTAATTGTAGGGTCCTGTATGATAAAAATCAATAAATTGAAGCAACAATTGGTAGAAAACTTTGAGATGAAAGATCTTAAACTAGCTAAACAAATTCTCGGCATAAGAATCCTCAAAAATGGATCAAAAGGTATTTTGAAACTGTCTCAAGAGAAATGTATAGAAAAATTGCTTGATAGATTTAATGTTGGAGATGCTAAGACCAAAAATACCCATTAGGAACTCACTTAAAGTTTTTAAAGAAGCAATTTTCACAGACAGATGAAGAAGAAAATTACATGTCAAGAATACCATATGCATCAGCTGTAGTAAGCTTAACGTATGCTATGATGTGTACTAGACCTGACATAGCACATGTAGTGGGAGTTGTCAGTAGGTTCCTATCAAATCTTGGAAAAGAGCATTGGGAAGGTGTGAAGTGGATATTGAGATATCTGAAGGGCACTTCATAAATGTGTTTGTGCTTTGGCAAACTAATATCACTTTAAAAGCATTTTTTTATGCAGATCAGGAAGGAGATTTGGATGGTAGGAAAAGCACCATAGGTTATATTTTTACCTTAGGTGGTACTACTGTGAGTTGGAAGTATAAACTTCAAAGTAGAGTTGCTCTCTCAACCATTGAAGCTGAGTTTGTGGCTATTTCAGAAGCAGCAAAAGAGATGCTATGGCTAAAGAATTTTCTCAAAGAATTGGGAAAAGAATAGGAAGATTCTCCATTATTCAGTGACAGTCAAAATGCTATACGTCTCGCTAAAAATCTAGTTTTTTATTCTAGATGCAAGCATATTAATATGAAGTATCATTTTATTAGAGACCTAATAAGTGCTAGAGACTTGTCTTTGTTGAAGATCTCAAGATCAGAAAATCCAGCTGATATGTTGACCAAGACTGTTACAACTGATATGTTGAGGCTTTGCATTGCCTCAACTGGCCTCCGATGATAACTGATGATGAAGACGCTATACTAGGTGAAGAACACATGAGCTCATTATTTACAAGGATCTAATCACACTCAAAGTGGGAGAATTGTTGAGATTGTGTAGTCTTATTTAGTCTCACATTGTCTACTCTTGAGTGACATCTGTTTTACTATTATTATATAAGTAATATCCTGTACAACTTTAAGAATCATCCAATGAATAAAATATTTTCCTAGTGTAGTCGTGGACATAGGTACATATACTGTGTGTCGAATCACGTTAAATTCTTGTATTCTCTCTCTCTCTCTCTTTTCTCTTTCTTCTTCTTTAGTTGTTTCTAACAATTACCATAAAATTTTTCATGATATACACATTGTCTTCATGGAGTAGCTTTTTATAACGTGATATAATATCCTTCCTAACAGTACAATGAATTCTTGAATTCTGAAATAATGAGAGAATATGAAGGAATTAAATAAGAAGAAAATTTTATGCACTTCGACAAAAGAAATCTAAAAGCTTCACCTTTTTATCGACTAAAATCATGTCCATGCTATTGAATTGAGTTTTATTTCGAAACTCATGAGAAAATCACAAATAAATGATCTGAACTATTATCTTTCAATTCACCTTTCTAGGTTGTATTTCAGAAAGCACTGAAATAGTAGGCGCCATTTTATAAGAATTTTAGTAAAATTTCAAACAAATAACCTTAACTTTCCCTTATATATATACCTAATAAAATATAATTTCTTTCTTATTTGAAAATATTTTTTTATTTATTGTTTTATAATAAACTTAATTTAAAGTTTAAGAGTTTTCTGTAATTTTATTAATTATTAATTTTTAATAATAATAAAAATTTGTTGCAAATGATGCATCTTTTGAATATATAAAAACTGCTAATTAAAAATAAATACATTTATCTGATTTTAATTAAACCATTCAAAACTTTTATAATAAACTTAATTTAAAGTTTAAGAGTTTTCATTAATTTTATCAATTATTAATTTTCAATAATAAACATTAATATTAAAGTTTAAATTTGTCGCAAAACATGTATTTTTTAAATATATAAATAAATAAATGCATTTAACTTATTTTAATTAAACTATTCAAGACAGCCTTAAACGTAAAGATATATCAAAATTACTAATTAAAAATGAATAAATTTAATTGATATGAATTAAACCATTCAAGAAAATCTTAAATAGTAATTATTAATTATTATATAAAAATTATTATGAAAGAGTAGACGATAGATTCTCTTCCAAAACTTATTGTAAATTTTTCTCCAAAACTCATATACTTTTATATATATAAAGATAAAGATAAAGATAAATTTAACCAATTGTTATGGTTTATTGATTGTTATATTTATATATTTATTATTATTTTCTTTTAAGTAATTAAAAAATAAATTTTTATAACTATATTCATAATAAAGATATATTATATATATTTTTAATTAAAATAGCAATAGACACATAAGTAAAATAATAGACATTTCTGAATTCTTACGATAATTTTTTTTTATTAAAATGTCTTTATATTAAAGTTGTAACAATAATTAAGCGATTACTGATTTTAAAATTATTTTAACTAAAAAACATATTTAATAAATAAAAATATTACTGTAAAAACAATAATTTTTTAATAAAAAATAATTTAAAATAAATAAATAAAATTTAAACCACAACTAATGAAAAAAAAAAGTGTTATTTTATTAAGGAATATGTTTGGTGACGGTTGTTATCTGTTACATGGTATAATATACTAATATAAATATTGATACTATTCCAGATTTTATTTATAAAATATATTTTTTAAAAATTTAATAAAATTAGTTATATATTATAAATTTATATTTTATTTTAGAAATACTTTAATATTAAATGGTTAAATCAATATATTATATGTTAAATTAACAAATATATTTGTTTTTATAAAAAATAAGTTTTTTATTATCACAAATTTTAATAATTAATATATCTAAAAAGTATTTTTTACATTTAAAATAAAATAATAATAATAATTTTTAAAAAAATATTATAAAAATAATGCTAAATTATGACTTTTCATATGACAAGTTTGAAGTACAACTTTATTTTATTATTAGTTAACATTTATTAAAAATAAATATTTACTTTAATTCTTAAAATATACAACCTTATTTAAGTTAATTTTTAAAATTTTAAATTTTAATCTCTAAAATTAAAAGTTATTAAATAATTTATTCTCGTCATAAAAACTTTAAGTAAAGTAATAAAATGATAATTTATTATATTAAGTAATATGTTGACACGGAGGTTAGATATTTCCTCTTCTTAATGGTTATCTTCTTTGCAACTTCATATTCTTCCTTTATATTTTTAGTGGGACTTACTATTCACTCACACTTTCCACTCTATTACAAATGACGAAATTGATGTTGAATTTCACTTCCCACATTTACTTTTTCCTTCGTTTTGTTTTCCATTATTTGAGCCAATGAAGTTTCCAACGCTTTCATCCTCCTCAATTAGTTCCCAATCTCTAAGCCTTCTATTTTCCTCCACTCACTAATATATATTACACATTTTAAGTAATTTAGATAAAGTTAAATTAAATTTACAATACATAATAAATTAAATATTAAAACTTCTAATACAACTATATTTTTAGAACCAACTAATCTACGTGTTTAATAAGTAGCCTCAAACACTTAAACACAAACGACAATCCTTTTAATCCTTTCTTCATGCATCCTTCTAATAGTCTCGTAGTCCCATTAGTATCAATCTTTATAAGGAGATCACAACTATAATTTTTGGTACGACTTTTACAAGATGGTTCTCACTACTAAAAACAAATATTATTTTGTTGATGGATCCGCTCCTATATGGGTATATTTAATGGCACTGTTCTCATCTTCTTTTTGTCAGGGAGCGCAATAATAACATTATGACTTCTTAATTCGATCTGAGAAGAACTTGTAGCAAATGTCATACATGCAAAATTTGGTGCAACAATTTGGTTTGATCTAAAGACTCATTATTTTCAGTTGAATAATGGACCTACCATATACCACCATCTTCCGACTTCAAGCAGTTAGCTAGTTGAGTAGTTACGATTGAGTAAAATTACTTGCAGTTTATTGAGGCTGGAGCCATAATTTTCTAAATTGAATCTCTACCTGTCTCTTCCATGTTATTGATAATTTATTTATGTCATCTCCTTCTTACCACTTTTTTATTCAAACAAAATAGAAAGTGCAGAGATACTTAAGAAACAAAATGGTAGATAACCTTATTTGATTATTTCTACAAAGCCTTGTTAGATATCCATCTACTGTACATGGCAAAGCATTCTTCAGGCCTGTACTCGGGAGCTGTATGGCCTCCACCCTGAAAGTATATCAATAAAAAATAATAGAATAAGTAACAACCAATTGATTGACACATACCTCATTCTCAGTGCATGGTTGATACAGCTAAAACGAAAAAGGAATCCCCTATTCAATCAACAACTGCTCTCTTATGAAATTTTTAGGCAAAACAAGTCTATCAAATATTGGTGGAGTCAACCATTCAAATTCACTTTGTTTAATAAGGTCCAACAAATTTAAGGCCTAAATCATTTGGTTCACTTTTATCCTTCATAGATCCATCAAGCAAAATCTATGTGTAACCCACAAGTGTAGCAAGAGGGAGAGTAGACTTGCCTTCACAGTTGCAAATGTCATCCGATTTGAGTAAGTCCTTGTGTACCTAATTGCAGAAAAACAAATATTAAGTACATAATTTACTTAGATTTTCCTTACAGACAAGTCCATCCTGGTTATTATATAACTGTATAGCTAGGAAAATACCCTGCCACTTGGCCATTTGTACGCCATTGTCTCCAATCATCCACAATGGAGTAGTTTAAAGATCTTATCCATGCTTGAGTCGCCAAGAAAGGAATCGTCATGTCATGATCACCACTGTTATCAATATGCAAAATTTATTTGCCACGTGGAATTCAAATTAGTTCATCTGTGCGTGTTACGTTAATGCAGTATGTGATGACTGATGAGCATAGAGAAACAATATTGACCTGTATATAAGTGAACGAATGCCTTTTCTACTAAGGATTACATGATACTCAAAGCTGCTAGGGATATCCCTCTTGTTGGGTATATTGAAGGTACAGCGATGCCATTTTCCTATACTTCCCTGCAGCACATGCAACCAACCTTTATGTTATTATATGTAGTAGTATGCCAACTATTTAAGTGAGAAAATTACTTTCATTTGTGTCAACTACACCTTACGGATGTGCAATGCTCTGCGAACATTATCATCATTAGCCCAATAGACAGAGAGGAAGTACACATAACTCTAACAGTGGAAAGCAGATGAACAAGTAGTTAGCACAAATATTTGGATAATGTGGCTGCATATGCAAATAAGAGATGGCATATTGAAACAACAAGTGCATGCATGGTATAGCTAGATTGTGTTAGATGCAGGAAGAGAAGAATAATACAAAATGGAAATTTAATACATGACCATAGTCTACTATTTATATTAGTGGCAGAGTGGTCCTAATTTATATCAAACAATTGACATATCACTAAATGTTAAGTGGTCACAAATTTAAAATTATAATCTTTAATTAAAAAATTATGGTTCTTAACTCACACTAATTTGCAACCTTTCATTTTTTTTCAACTCACGCACCATTTTATTTTGTAATTATTATTTCTAACAGGTTCTTATTGCATAAATATATAAAACATCTCTGATTCTATAAAGCATGAAGAAAGATTACCCGACAGATTAAGGGTGGCAATTTGAGATGAGTACTGAGGACCTTCTTCCCAGGATGTTTCTTCATTATAGATCTCCTTTGAGAAGTTTCATGATGGGTTTCAATCCACTCACATGCCGGGTCCAAAATATGGGCTTTATTAATTCCTGATGTAGCCTGTGGGAATGGAGAAATGGTTGACTTGGTGATTTCCCGTTTGACTTGAAATTCTACTCATGAAATTTTGATAAGAAATGTCGAAGGGTCACCCCTCGAACAAAGGATTCATACCTCATCGAATGAGTCGAGATCTCTTGAACATAATACATTTCTGGGGTCTACATTTATATACTCTCCGTTACAATTATTTTGCAGTGACTGGTCATTAAAATAAATAGAGAACCTTTAGGCTTTAGCATTTGATTTTTGTTAGTTAATACATTTTTTGCGGAATAGCTAGTGAGGAATTATAATGAGATTACATCGTATAACTCATCAGAAATAAGTCCCATTCCATGAGCATAAGGGATTGCATAGTTTTTTTCCCATGTAGTTGTTGCTGCATTCCCCAGCAGGTATCCCTGAAGAAAAAAAACATTTCATAGTCAATCTGAAAGCCGTTATATAATAATACCATGACACCTTCCCTAACTAGTGGAATACCCAACCAATTAAAAAATATTCTCATCAGTTGATGAACATTTCTCGGCAGCTGTCCAAAAGATTCTCATATAATCAAAATTCACATACAATTCTACTTTTCAGTGGCCATTTGTACAAACCCATTTGCTCCTCATATAATGCCTCAGGGAATGGTTAACTAGTGATCAGTCCTTTGAGTAGTTAGGAAGAGATTTTAAATTCCAACTTTCATGGCTTCATGCCATCATTATAGAAAACATAAAAATTTAGAAGTTTTAAATCCTAGACTTTCATTTGTTAACATTACTACAACGTACAAGATACAACCCCTCCTTTCACTCTCCCCACACACGTTTTATATAGTTAAAAAATATATATTCTTAACATGAGAGTGATACTTTAAAACACTAACCTGGAGATTTATCCATGGTTTGGCCCCTCTTTCATTTGCTGAAAAACAAAATAGGAAACAGTTAAGCTTTCAACATAATTATGGTGGCAACATAGAAAAACAGAGTCACACTGCTCAAAATATATGGTTACAAATTAAGGCAGGCTAAATAATTCAGCTACGAGAGATCAGTCTATAACTAATTTTAAATTGGATTTAAAAAAATTGGATGCATTTTAAACTAATTTTTTGGTTCACCATATATTTTTAACTAGAATAATATTTTAAATCTACTTTCTAAAATTAAATTATTCTTTATTTAGTCCTAACTTATTAGATTTCTACGGTATATCAGTTGACAAAATTTTTTATGATTATGTTTTATAACTAATATATTTTGACTTAATTATTTTTTTGTCTCTATAAATATGTTTTATGATAAATTTTTATAATTTTTTTAAGATTTAGTCTCTAAAATATTAAAATTTAATCTCTACCGTCAACTACATTCTATTAAATATTGAGTTGACTAACTATATTCATATAATATCACACGTTATTTAATTTTATAATATTTTATTATTTAAAATTAATATTTATAAATAAGTTTCTTAACATATTTTTAAATATTTGTAAAAAAAGTCTTTTTTCATTCCTTTTTTTCACCCCACTCAGATATCCACTCCCTTCCCTTCACCTCACTTTTCAACTCCGCTCTTTTATCTCACTCCTACTCTCACTCTCAACACCAACTTCATCCTTACATCCACATTAGAGTTTAATGAATAGAGTAAGAAAGAAAGTTGATAATAGAGACTAAATCTTAATTTTTTAATATTTTAGAAAATAAATTTTAACAAAAATTTTATAAGAATTTATCATAAAACGTGTTACATTTATAATGACAAAAAATATAATTAAGTCTTTTTTTTTATTAACCTTAGTTCTTATAATTAAAATGATGTTTTTTAAAATGTAATTAATATATTAAAGATATAAAAGTATTAAAAATATTTTTAAATTAATAATAATTATTATTATATTAATTTTTTAAAAAATATTATAATATTATATTTTTCATTTATTAATATTTATTTTTATAAATATTAATTTAAACTTTCATCATAAACTCTATTAATTAAAAATAAGTTAAAAAATAATTAATATTTAGTTAATAATTTTATAAAGTATAATATAATTAATAAAAATTACTAAAATATTTTTAAAATATACTAATTTAATGCAATGATATAATGCAGGGTGCATTGAAAATTTTGATATTTTTCTTATCAATTGAAAATCTTGACACGTCACATAGTGACTGATCAGGACCATAGACATGTGGTGGTCCCAAACTACTCAATAATTTTTCCTAACACACTATCAAGGAGGTATTAGCTTCTGCGTATGTTAGTTGTTTCAATTTTACCATACACATTGAACCATATACAAGTTCTGTACCTTGTGAAATTTCTTGAACAATTACAGGAATAGGAATGCCAGAATATGAATCGCCACCGATGTAAACTTCATTTGACAAAAATCTTGGATGATCAATCAACCACTACATACATTTAAACATGATTGCAACAATTTAATTGACTGAAATCTAAAAACAAAACCAAAAAAAGTGGCATTGTAAAATAAAAACAGTGAAAATTGGGTGAATACCTTCCTAAGAAATTGATGGACTTGATGAACTAGGAGCCAGTCGCTTCGTTGAGTAGCAAACTCTGTTCTAGCATAAGTGAAGCCCGTGGAAACCGGCAAGTCTACAAATATAATACTACTCACCTAACAAGAACAGTTATGAAAAATACCATTATGTATAAAGCATAATCGAATAGTAAACTGATAAAAATATCCAAAAGGATGTGGTAAGATAAATATAACAAATGCAAAAATTATCTATTTTAGCCAGCAAAAATGAGGATACACCCCCTACCTTTGTCCACGAGTGTGGCCTCAAGACCATATTAGGCAGGCTCCCATTGTATTCCTCTTTTTTAAATGCAAGTGGACCTGCATTACCCAAATAGATTAACCGTCCAAGTTTCAGCTGTCTTCTATCTAGTTACCTTCTATGTTCATAAACAAATAGAAACGAGTATTTGTTGGTATGTTACGTGTAATGAGCATCACAATGATGCTAGTAAAAATTGTAGAACACAAGACTGGCAAAAAATAGTAATTAATGTTTACTACAAAACAAAAGAGTAGTGTATGTTACTTACACTTTAAAGTTTCAAAACACTTTTTTCTCTCATATTTTTGTGTCAGTCGTTCAATAAGACCTACAATCCTCTTAGTTCTTTTAAAAGAGTTTCACTATTTTGGGTCAAGGGCAATCCAAATATATACCCTTTTAAAACCTTATGACATACATGAGTATATGAACAATGGATTCCACTTACATGTTCCCTATTTAAGTATTGAGAGACTATCCGAGAGAGAGACTATCCAAGAGTTAAAAGTAAGTGGAAAGCAAAGTTGGTGTATTACCTATTTCAAAGACAAGGCCAGACAAGGCAGAGCAACCAGGACCCCCAGTGAGCCAAAGCATTAGAGGATCCTTCTTTGGGTTGCTCTCTGATTCAATGAAGTAGTAGAAGGCTTGAACATCCTCTCTTTCACCCACCCCCACATACCTATTCAACATGCACAATATGCATGTGTATAAAACTCAATAACATCAATTTCAATTTCAATTAAAACCATATGCTTGTTGCTATAGCTATACTGTAACTGACCCCGTTTCGAGAACAAAAGGAAGGGGTCCCTCGAATCCAGGAAGGAACTGTACTGTGGAGCCACACCATGTAAGTTGAAAGAAAAATTGTGATAACAAAAGATGGGAAAGTAGAACTCCAAAGTAGACGAAATCCGAAGCACCACAACTCAAACTAAACTTTGCCATTTTCAATGGTTTCCCACTTTTCTCTCTAAGCATTTCCATGGCTTTTAATTGGAGCTTCTTACTTCTTAGTTCTTGATATTATCGTGATTGTGTCCTTGTCATCCTAGACACTGCTGACTAGTATTTTGTTAAGGACTGCACTTGCGTGACAGAACTAATCTATTCCACAGAATAACATACCAATATAAATCTGTTTACTAAATTACGATGGTCAATGTCATTCATGTCATGATTGACTTTGATGGCTATAACAAGTTGGAAACGCAACCTTTTTTTTTTTTTAACAAAATAAAGCATTTTTAATATCTTCTTTATGAATCTTAGAATATTAATTAAAAAGTAGCACTTTCCTTCTTCAACAACAGTTAACACTTTTTAGACACATCTACATAAAAAAATGAAAATAAAAAATAATTATGGACAATATTACTTATAATATTAATGTTTGAATATTTAAATAATAAGTAGTTGGAAACGCAACCTTTGCTTAGTTACCCACATGATGAAATTACTCTCGTAGAACCTTGTCTGCATGTTAATTGACAGAACGTCGTTTTGGTATAGGTGCTGCTGTCTTTCCTATGATTTAACAAGGAGTATTTGAAAGAGTAGGAATTTATAAAAATAATTCATTATTTTTATGTTTTTATTAATTTTTAATAAATTTTATAATAAATATATATTAAACTCTAATATATATATATTTTTTATTCAACAAGTATTAAATCAAACTAATTATTTAAACCACTTCTGATTTACAGGCTTTTTTTTTGGGGGGGGGGGGTGGTTCCTTTGTGCTTGGTAATAAGTTGATTCATTTTATTTGATTAAAAATTCGAAAAGTAAAATGGTGATGTTATGTGTCATCAAAGTAAAAGGGAAACGAGTGTGTGGTACATGTTTACATTCTGAACGGTGTAGAAGGCTCAGAAATAATGTGGTGACGATTGTAAGAATTTTGACACGTTCTTATTTCTAAGTATATCTAAAAGAAAATGTTTTTTTAAGTTTGGATTCACGTATTCGAATAACGGATATGCGATCACCATCGATGATTTTTTTGTCAAATCATATTATTTCGTCAACAACCATCGATGATTTTTTTGTCAAATCATCTTATTTTGTCAACACGTGAATTTTCTTGACAAAATAAGATGACTTTATATAAATATTTTAATAATGTTAATACTTATTTAATATATTCTTTTTATTTTTTATCACATCATTAGTTTTATTTTAAATTGACTGTGGCATGGTAGGATTTGCTTCTTCTATTGATCGGATGCTTTCGGCTTTTTAATTTTTTCATGCAGGCATGTCATATTTTTAATAGCATGTGTAATTTATGTTTAAATGGAAATAAATTTGTTTAAATTTTTTTTAATTTAATCTTAAACACATGTTAAAGATTCATTCATTAGGAACATATAATATATCACGAAAAAAACTTTTTCACTAAACTTTTTTAATCTCTTGTTTTTTTACTTTAAATTCACACACCCCCATACAGTATACGCAAAACAACCTTGGATTCACACAGGCCAAAAAAAAAGTTAATTGTTACATCCCAACGCCAAATTGCCATTACTAAATTCAAATTTAAAATAAAAAAATGCTGGACCTTAAATAAAAAAGGAAAAGAAAACTATGATGTGCAGATCCAATTCTAAACGTAGTTCCAAATAGCAATTAAAGGTAATACACTCGAGATTACCAGTTCAGCGTAATCAAATTGGAAAAGAAAAAACAAGAAACTTAACCAATAAAGACCTATGAAATACATCTAACCAATAAATCCAAGTTAAATAACAAATATGAGAAGCCAAGATTATTAGTGCAGGAAATAAAATTAGACACAAGTAATAGCATCAAACATTTGCATTCACAGCACAGTAAAACAGAACCTTAGCAAAACCTTAATCAAAATATAAAATATCACTCATCCATCAAAACATCATGTGACAAAGGCAAGGTTGACAGAACACAACCTTTGGAATATGTTCAATCAATGAAATGTTGTAAGTATAAAATCCTGAAAAAAAGAATATTATAAACTTGGTAGATGAGAGAAATAATAATGAGAATAGAGACAACTAGAAAATAGAAGAAAACGAGATTGGAGGCCAGGAGTGAGAGTGACTTTGATCTTTTGATAGTCGTTCGAGTTGGGCCATCTAACCAGCAAGCATTGTGTCGTGTGGGCCAAAGCCCAAAACACTAGAAACCCGATTGAACCCATTTATGTCTTCAATTTTGCTTGCAGTTTGTTCACCTTAAGGTGGTAGAAGCTTTTCTATGTTCACTTCGAGAGCTCGCTAACACTGATAAGAGGACGAACAAAGTTGCAATAATTATACGCCCACCATGGAGACTCCAGATTTTGGGGGTGCCTCTTCCGTTTCAGATCTTTGCATGGAAAGCGAGTTACCCAAGTCAAATTTTCAGGTAAAAATCACGACTTTTGTTGATTTGAATGAATTTTCCATTTCTGTTGAAGAGATTGAGATGTGGGTATTTTTCCTCTAATTAGACAACATCAAATTCTTAACGATGCCACTTCCGAGGTTCAACCGTTCTTTACTGGGAAAAGTTTTAGCCTCCCATTTCTATGCTAACCGTTTGCCCCGTGTTGCTCTCAGTCTTTATTCAGCAAGAAATTCTGTTTTTTCTGCTTCTTATTCAATCGCTAATGTTGGAGATCAACATGAGGGTAAATGCAACATTAAGAATTTCAATGATGATTTGGGGAAAGTGGGTTCTGGTTTTCCAGGGGATTTTGGTTTTACTGCAAGTCTGAATGATGCGGTAGAAGAAGAGGAAGATGAGGAGTGTGAAGGAGAGGGGCCTAGTGATGATGAGAGTCTTGAGTTTATCAGTTCCTTTCATGGCAGTCACCAACAGAGAGAAAATATTGCAAGAGTTGAAATTGGTGACAGTGAGTTTAGACACCCTTTGGTCAGGGAGGTTTGTAGGTTAATCACTCTCAGGTCTGCTTGGAACCCTAAATTTGAAGGACATTTGAGGCATTTATTAAGAAGCCTCAAACCTCCACTTGTTTGTGCTGTTTTGCGCTCCCAGGATGATGAACGGGTTGCTTTGAACTTTTTCTATTGGGCTGATCGGCAGTGGCGCTACAGACATGACACTATTGTCTACTATACAATGCTAGATGTCCTTAGCAAGACCAAATTGTGCCAAGGTGCAAGGCGAGTTCTTCGGCTTATGAACCGCCGGGGATTTGAATGTTCCCCTGAAGCTTTTGGTTATGTGATGGTATCTTATAGTCGTGCGGGAAAATTGAGGAATGCCTTGCGAGTTCTGACCTTGATGCAGAAAGCTGGAGTTGAACCTAATTTATCTATATGTAACACTACTATCTATGTTTTGGTGAAGGGAAATAAATTGGCAAAGGCGCTGAAATTCTTGGAACGAATGCAGCTGACTGGAATCAAACCCAATATTATCACTTATAACTGCTTGATTAAGGGTTACTGTGATTTAAATCGGATTGAAGATGCATTGGAGCTTATAGCAGAAATGCCATCCAGGGGATGTCCTCCAGATAAAGTTAGTTATTATACTGTGATGGCTTTTCTCTGTAAAGATAAAAAAATTGAAGAAGTTAAACATTTAATGGAGAACATGGTTCAGAATAGTAAATTAATACCAGATCAGGTTACATATAATACGGTTATCCACGTGCTTTCAAAGCATGGACATGCAGATGATGCTCTTTCTTTCCTAAGGGAAGCAGAAGACAAGGGTTTCCACATTGATAAGGTAGGGTATAGTGCAATAGTTCACTCGTTCTGTAAAATGGGGAGGATAGGTGAGGCAAAGATTTTAGTGATCGATATGTACTCAAGAGGCTGTAATCCTGATGTAGTGACATATACTGCTATTATTGATGGATTTTGTCGCTTGGGGAAGATAGATGAAGCAAAAAAGATGCTGCAGCAGATGTACAAACACGGGTGCAAGCCAAATACTGTATCGTATACAGCTTTGTTGAATGGCCTCTGTCGCAATGGAAAATCATTAGAGGCATGGGAGATGACAAATGTAAGTGAGGAGCATTGGTGGACGCCAAATGCCATCACTTACTGCGTTGTCATGCATGGGCTCCGTAGGGAGGGAAAATTGTCTGAGGCCTGTGATTTGACCAGGGAAATGGTTGAAAAAGGTTTTTTCCCAACCCCAGTTGAAATTAACCTGCTAATAAAATCTCTCTGTCAAAATCAGAAAGTAGTAGAAGCTAAAAAATATCTAGAAGAATGTCTGAATAAGGGATGTGCCATCAACGTTGTAAACTTCACTACTGTAATCCATGGTTTTTGCAAGATGGGTGACTTGGAAGGTGCTCTATCAGTGCTAGATGACATGTATTTAAGCAACAAACATCCTGATACTGTCACATATACAACATTGTTTGATGCATTGGGAAAGAAAGGTAGATTGGATGAGGCAGCTGAGTTAATTGTAACAATGCTTGGCAAAGGTTTGGTTCCAACTCCTGTAACATACCAGTCGGTTATCCACCGTTATTGTCAATGGGGTAGAGTTGATGACTTGATGAACTTGTTGGAAAAAATGCTTGCTAGGCAGCCATTTAGAACAGTGTACAATCAGGTTATTGAAAAGCTTTGTGATTTTGGGAACCTTGAGGAGGCTGAGAAACTACTAGCGAAGGTTTTGAGAACAGCATCAAAACTTGATGCTAATACATGTCATGTTCTGATGGAAAGATATTTGGATAAAGGGTTTGCTCTTTCAGCATATAAAGTGGCTTGTCGAATGTTTAGACGTAATTTGATTCCTAATTTAAAGTTGTGTGAGAAAGTAAGTAAGAAACTGGTGTTAGATGGTAAATTGGCGGAGGCTGATAACCTTATTTTACGATTTGTTGAGCGTGGAATACAACAAAATGAGATGCATCTGTGAAGTTAGCTACTATTTTTAGCTTAAGCTTTAAAGGGATGATTTTATTTTCACCTCAGTTTGTCATTTTCCCTTGTTGGTATTCCATTTCGTTGCCTTCAATTAGGTAAGGCATTATTTTTTGAGAAAAAGATTATTTTGTTTTGAGAATGTAAATTTAACTCATAAGATCATTTTATCTTTTATGGGGATAGTGATGCGCATATTTAAATTTTAAATAGAGAGAGGAGTTTATTTATTATCATTCAGAGTGGGAACAAATATTGTCTTAAATTAAATAAAAGTTGTATAATTGAGATTTGAATTGAATTTAAGCGTTTTGAGTTATGTATTAAAATATTAGGATTTAATTTGTGTAAGATATGATGCCTGAGTTTGTGGATTACATCTAGATTTCTATCTATTTTTAAATATTAAATGAGTTTTTATTCTTAAGTTGGTGAGAGATTTTAAGAGCTATATTTTTTATTATTATTGTGCCATGTCACTTGTTATGATCTACAATTGGGTTCTTAACTGACGTACAAGTTAAATTAACAAACATTACTTAACCTAAGATAATTAAATCATTTCTTACATAAAATTTTACTTTAAATATATTGAAATATTAGTAGAATCTTCTCTGTAATTTCAATATTAAAAAGAAATAACCTGTTAAAATATATTTATAATTTATTTAAAGTCAAAACATAATAACCTATTATTTCAGTGCAAAAACAAAGGCCTAGTAAATTTTTAAAATTATATTACTAATTTTCTAAAGTTGCAATATGTTTAATGCACAAAATAAAGTTAAAAAAGACCACTAAAATAATGAAAGCCTGCTCGGAAGGACCACAACTTCCAATAACTAGCAATTCAATTATTAAATGATCTGAAGAAAAAAGTTATATAAATTTAGAGAAAACATTATAACGACAATAAATAAATAAAAGAATAATGGATGAATAGTTAACAATTATAAAACTTAATTATAACACATTGGTTGAATAGAAATTATTTGTTCTAGCCACATTTCAAATACCCTACTCTTATTATATGAAGTAGCCTTTTCCTCACTCACATAGTGTCATAATTATTTTAACCACCGTGCATTGATAACTTTATTCAATAAATATTTTTATTTTTTCAAAATATAACTAAATGTACCTAAACTATTATTTATGTTAACAGCTACACATTACTTACATACATCTCCTAAAAAAATATAAATTTTGTAGAAAATCAGTCACTAATATAAACTAAATTTATTTTCAATAATAAAAAAATTCTCAACACGTATATTTTATATTTAAATGTCATTAAATAAAATCAAGATAATTTTTTAATATTTTACAAATAAACTGATGTTAAATAATAAAGAATTCGTATCGCAACAATTTTTGAAGATAAAAAATAATATAAAATTATCTTATGAAACAAATAATAATAATAATAATTCATCACGAGAGTGAATGCTAGGACACTCAGCATGTTTTTGCTTCTTCTTTTTTTATTTTCTTATTTCTTTAATAGTTTATTTTTAAAAAATTATTTATTCGTTACTTTTTCATTTTGTCTAGACTCGCCATGAAAGAAGTCTTCCATAGAGTTCACCATTATTGATTCAATCGATACGTAATAATTTATTCTTTTTATCTCATAATATTACATCAATAATCATTTAATAATAATTTCTCTATTACATTTTTGTGACACTAAATAAGTCCTTTAACTATTAATGAAAGAACTTTTTTAATTTATAAAAGTTATTATTTGATGTCAAATTAGTTAAAAAAAGTCATATTTTAAGGTAAAAGAAATAATTTTTAACTATATAATTATATATAAATGAGATAAATTAAAATTTAATTAAAATCATATAATTAATTTAAAAATTTATAATTTTAATCCTATCTATTCGTATATAATAAATTATAGTGATCCAAGTTTATTTAATACACTTACCCTTTCATTTGTTAAGTCTCCATTTGGTGCGTCCCATTGGCTATATGATTAAATGAGAAATTGCATTCAAATATAATCATACAAAAGAAATATTAAAAATAAAATAAAATTAGATTGTAAAATTTAAATGGAAAGTGGTAGTTTTGAAATAAATGCATGTTGGAATTCCTAGAGAGTCAAATCAGCAAAAATTAATTTTCAATTAATAATAATTGAGAATAGATAAAATAAAAAATAATTAAAAAAATACCGTTTATAAATTAATTAAGACAAATAACAAATGGTTTATAATTATTTTTCTGATGATAATTGAAAAAAACAAGAAATTCTGAAAAATAGCAATACATGCGATCGTAAAGAGGGTATCTCTTCATTCTCATTTCAAACGTACAAGGAAGGTATCTCTTCATCTTTCTTTCAATTTTTTATTTTTATTTTTTGTCTAAAATCTTATGTCTATCGTTTTAAGATGTAGGATTAATGATATGGTCTTTTGATTTCATTTTTAAAAAATTTTAAGTTTAATTTAGTTTTTCTTTTAATTTTTGTAGTGTAATTTAGTTTTTAATTTTTATTATTTCTATTATGACATTGCTAAATTTCATTAAATTTTTATTTAAAAAATTAAAATCAATCTAAAAATTTAATTATTTTTTATTATTAAACAGGGCTAAAAGTCTGGCCAATACAAAACCCTAATTCTGAAATCTAAAATTATAGATACTAAGGTATCTAAGCTCAAATAAGAAAGCAAAAATAATAGAGATTGTTCAAAACAAATATAATGACAAAATTCTTTAAAATTGATCTTAGAAAGTTTATCAACACATTAATAGATCTCTTTACAGAATACATAAATATAATAAATTTTAAAATATCTCTAATAGACTTAATAAATAAAATATGGATGATTTCTATTATAAACATTTAAAATCAATTGAAGAGTCCGTTTAGCATATAAAAAAAAGAATTATTTTATCAATTAAAATGAAGGATTGAAATATAAAAATTAGTCATTGCTTTTATAAACTCTAATTTTAAACACTTATTTTTTTAATAATTATTAATATTTATTGAAAAGTTTTTTAAAGTATTGTGTTGCAACTAATATATTACATATTTTCACAATTTTCTTGACATTATTATTATTATTATTATATAAAAATATTTATTAAATCAAATACACCTTTTAGAAGGGAGATTTGACCTTAATTTGTTTTATTAAAAATTAAAATATATAAAAGGTATGTTTGACCCATTGCATTGACTTACTTTTAACGTCCATATTCTAATCTTATTTGACTTATTTAAGTTTTAAACCTTATTTTTTTCACTTACTTTTGAATGATTTTTTCTTTATCTAATTTCTAACTATATTGTTAATCATTCTTGAGCAGTTAACTCATATTTATTAATTTTTTAATGAAAACATTTTTAAGGAAAATTTTAAAGAAGAGCATTTTTATGAGTATTTTTATTATATTATATTTATTTTTTAATTTAATATTTTAATTTAAAAAAATTATTTAATATAATAGAATTTATATTAATAATCATATTGTATATTTTTTATTATTTATTTTAAAAGCTAATTTATAATATTGGTACAGTGCAAGAAGAAAATAATATTTTAAACATAGATTTAAGTACACGTTTGATCTTTCTACTTTCTACTTTTTCCTTTTTACTTTTCTCCTTCTAACATACTTGGTTCTTTAAGTCCTAATAATTCTTTAATTCCTTTCCTTTTGGATGGTTTTGTTTTGGTTCATTTTGAATGGAGATAAAAGTTTGATTGTGAGTTAATCTTCAAGCGAATAGGGCAAGTTCTCACAAGCATAGTTTTTGTTACATGTACAATTTTACATATGATATTTTAGATATTATGTTAATACGTGGATGACTGGAGGTACATTTTAAAATTTGAAGGATATTTAACCTAACAAAATCAGAGACCAATTAAAAAAATTATTTGAAAAATAATCGATTCAAATGTTCTTATCTAATAATATTTCTAAAAACACTTTTATAGTATACATAGAGATTGACGATTAGTAATTTTTCTATGCATTACATGAATTTCATTAAATAAAATTAAATTTTTTTAAATAATTAACTAAAAATGTTATATGAATTTTTTTTTATAGTTAATAACCTGTTAAATTTTAAAAAAGTGAAAATTATAGTTTATAATGATAAATATTTTATTATATTAAATAAAAATAAAAATTATGAAATATAAAATTTAAATTAATATTAACTTAAAAACTAAATATTTAATGTAAAAAAATTATTTGGCATGATAAAAAAAATAATCTCTAAAAACGCTCCATTTAGAACAAAATTAAGAATGCTTCAGTTGAAGAAATGTTTTAAAAATATTCTAATTCAAGAATAATACTCACAAATTGTGTATATGAAGGTTAAATATATTCATAAGTTTAAATTTAATTTTTAAGTGACTATTGAGTATACTTTTTATACTGGAATTCAAATTTTCAAAAAATAAATTGTTGTAGTCTTTTATTTTGGTCAGTTGAGATTGTGGTAGTTTATTAGAATTAATTTTTTTTTTCCATATTTCATAGGAATAAACAACTTTAAATTTGCATATATCTAAAAAGTTTCTTTTTTTTTTCGTAAAAATGAGTAACTAGCCCTAAAATCAAACGACTAATGTGAATAAGAAAAAATTTCTTTCCACCATAAACAAGTTAGTAGCTGATCAATAACAAAAAAAAAAAAGAAAAACATAGAAAATATTAATGCTAAACATTTCTTTCTTTTACTCATTCAAATAAAACTTTTGACCCGGGCTTATATACATGGAAGAAACTTGTGCCTCAAACTATGCGAAATAGCTGAATAATCTTCTACCCAATTAAACAAACAACGTCGCTCTTAACTAAATAACTGAATATAATCTATACTTGTTATACGAGTATTTATAACCCTCCACTGACCTTATTCTACGTCTGTCTATAACTAATCACGTATCTATCTTACTCCTTCTATTGTTTGATTTTGCTTTTCTCTTCAGGCAGCCATGGCAGACACCACATCGGTGCCACCACCTTCATCTTCACAAAATCATGAACGAGACAAAGCCAATCAAAAAGTTCCCTTTTACAAGCTATTCACTTTTGCTGATCACCTTGACAAGGCATTGATGAGCATTGGCACGATCTGTGCCATAGCTAATGGGTGGTCACAGCCTCTCATGACCGTCATTTTAGGGAAACTCATCAACACATTTGGCTCCACCGATCCATCCAGTGCTATCAGGGAAGTTTCCAAGGTATATATATATATATGACCTCGGTTTATAGAGATTTCGCTATATTTATTTAATTTTTTGTTATAAATCTTTTATTTATTTCACTTTTAAGATTCAGTGCAATGAAAGGTCTGTGTTGTTTCCTATTTTAGTAACCTCATCTACGTGAAAGAAAATTATTCTTGATTTATATTGCATGCATATGTATATCCCTCATCTGTGGCCTTCTTTTGTTATGAAAAATTGCTTGTACTGACAATGGGTACACCAAGAAGTATTCTTTCAAGATTTGGACACCCCTACACATAAAAATGAAGATACGAAACAATTAACTAATGCACCTTGAGATAGCTTATGCTTGAGCGAATTAGTTGCCGGGATAAGTTTAAGCTTTACACCAGTCCAAATTTATAAATCATACTCAAGTCTATCATGTCATGAACCCTAGAGAACTTTAATTCTACATTTATATACCTTTCTACATTAACAAATGCACTTTGTTAAGTTCCAATCATTTGGATGAGCGTGTTAACGTTATCGTTTTAAGGAAAGTGAAAAGTTTTCCATATGGGGTAGGGTATGGTTTGTTTAAAAGGAATCAAGCGTAATATTTCATGTTCTTTTTTCTATTGATTGAGATTCCAGATTAAAGGAGGAAAAAAAATTTGCATTACCTGATATCCTAATATGTCTGCTATTGTTACTTCAAATTTCAGGTTTCATTATTATTTGTATACCTGGCTATTGGGACTGGAATTGCGTCATTCCTACGTAAGATTGGTCTCCTTTTCTGCTTATTTATTTTTGGGAAACTCGACGTTGCATGTGTGATGTGTTTCTGACTTTGAGTATCAAATCATGATAATAAAGATTAAGGGTTGCTTTGTTGAATGCTGCAGAGGTAGCATGTTGGATTGTAACAGGAGAAAGACAAGCTGCAAGGATCCGTGGCTTGTACTTGAAAACTATATTGAAGCAAGACATTGCCTTCTTTGACACTGAAACAAATACAGGAGAGGTAATTGGGAGAATGTCTGGTGATACCATTCTCATTCAAGATGCCATGGGAGAAAAGGTAGGTTCCTTATGTGTTTGAAATAACACCATGGTGAACCTTCATATATATTTGTTATCAAGCGTCATAATCTTTTAAGTATTATTATATTTGCCAGTCAAGAGTAAATTTTAACAGTGAATGCATCATAGTGTACAAAAGCACAATGGTAATAATGATGAAACCGGTGGAAACAATTAAAAAGAACATGATGATGCTTACCAAACCAAATGAACTCAAAAGAACAATGGGGATGCGGAAAAGAGTATTGGTAATTTTGCCGAAAGATATATAGTTCTTTTTTTTGTTTCGAAGGATATAAGGGACGGCATCTGCACGTGATGGAGAGTGTTTTCTTACCTGTCTCAACTTTTTTTCCCATTTTTATTCTCTTTTTTTTTTTGTATTGGGATAAATTTTTTTTCCGTCTCTATTCTCCACTTTTCTGTAAGTATCTGAAATCATAACATTTTTAAACAATAAAATGAAAAAAAATAAGTTTTCTTAACACAGTATAATCATAGCTTTTATTATTATAAATATAATAGCATTATTATTTAAATTAATAATGATAGATACATATTTAAATTTTATCAATATAGTTTTTATGCTTTTTATAAGATTAAAGTTTTAAAATATTTGTATAAATATATTTAATTGTTTTGAATAACCCGTTATGGTAATACACTAATACCACTAGTTATGTAAACAGAAATGAATATTAAAATGTCATGATCTTGCAAGAATTACAATTGATACCAATGATCTTTCTTGTACCTTATGACAAACTTACAATAATGACAGGTTGGGAAATTCATACAACTTGCTTCAAATTTTATTGGTGGCTTTGTGATTGGTTTCATAAAAGGATGGCGATTGGCTGTAGTATTGCTTGCATGTTTACCATGTGTCGTTGTTGCTGGTGGAATAATGTCTATGTTGATGGCTAAAATGTCAAGTCGTGGCCAAGCTGCTTATGCTGAAGCAGGAAATGTTGTTGAACAAACAGTGGGAGCTATTAGAACAGTAAGTCACAATCACACAAAATCCAATTATAGAAAAACATTGAATGATTTGCAATGAGTAAAGTTCCACGTTAGTTCTCCAGATTATATGAGTCAGACATTTGAATTTCTTAAATATTAATTTTTTTTATTATTCTCTAACTTTGTCATTCATTTTAGTTTTTGTTTCATTTTATTTTTTTATTATCATTTTACTATTTCAAGAACTAAAATGTCTTATGAATATAATCTCAAATAATTTTAATATTAATATTTCAAGAATTAAAATGTCTGATGCATCATATAATTTCGTGGCAACTGTATATTTAACCCTTGTCATTCCCTTATTTATGAAATTTAATCAGGTGGCATCTTTCACTGGAGAGAAAAAGGCAATAGACCAGTATAATATAAAGTTAAAGGTTGCTTATAGATCAACGGTTCAACAAGCAATAACCTCAGGGTTAGGAATGGGGGTACTTTTGCTGATTATTTTCTGCACCTATGGACTTGCCACATGTTATGGTTCCAAACTAGTTCTTGAGAAAGGATACAATGGTGGAACTGTCATCACCGTAATCATTGCTATTATGACTGGTGGAATGTAAGTGATCACATTGTTTAGGCATGAAATTTAACCTTTTTCTTTTTACTTTGTACGTTATGGAGCTATGGTTGGTGAGGCAACCTAATTTAACTTTTCTTACCTTCACAGGTCACTTGGTCAAACATCCCCAAGCCTGAATGCATTTGCAGCAGGCCAAGCTGCAGCATATAAGATGTTTGAGACAATTAAAAGAAAGCCAATAATTGATGCTTATGACACCAGTGGTGTTATCTTGGTAGATATAAAAGGAGATATCGAACTCAAAGATGTTTCCTTCAGATACCCTGCAAGGCCAGATGTGCAGATATTCTCTGGATTCTCGTTGTATGTTCCTAGTGGCACAACTGCAGCTTTAGTGGGTCAAAGTGGAAGTGGGAAGTCTACTGTAATCAGTTTATTAGAAAGGTTTTATGATCCTGATTCTGGAGAAGTACTCATAGATGGTGTGAATTTGAAGAATTTTCAGGTTAGATGGATAAGAGAACAAATAGGATTGGTTAGTCAAGAACCTATCTTATTTGCCGCTAGTATCAAAGAGAACATAGCCTATGGGAAAGAAGGTGCAACTGATGCGGAAATAATAACAGCAATAAAACTTGCCAATGCCAAAAAGTTCATTGACAAGCTTCCTCAGGTACTTATAAATATTCCAAATTCTTACCTTCTTTTATGAAGCTTGATTGATTTTAATTAAAGCGTATTATTTATTTTTCAGGGTCTTGATACTATGGCAGGGCAGCATGGGACTCAACTTTCTGGTGGCCAAAAGCAAAGAATTGCAATTGCAAGGGCAATTTTGAAGAATCCAAAAATCCTTCTTCTTGATGAAGCAACAAGTGCATTGGATGCTGAGTCTGAACGTATTGTTCAAGAAGCATTAGAAAATGTCATGTCAAAAAGGACTACTGTAGTTGTTGCACATCGTTTAACAACAATTAGAAACGCTGACACCATAGCAGTGGTTCAACAAGGCAAAATTGTAGAGAAAGGTTTATACATTAACCAACTATTTTGTTTCTAATTCTATATTTTCTATATCATATAAATACAACAACAAATGAGAATCCATCTTTTGCAACATCTTGGAATAAGGTATTCACTATTGCATGCTTGCTTTATATGTAGGAACTCATGATGAGTTGATCAAAGATGTTGATGGTGCTTATTCACAGCTTATTCGTCTGCAAGAACGAGCTAAGGAAGACGAAGGTAGCCATAATTCTGAAGCAGAGAAGCCAAGTACCAGTTTGAATTTAGATTATCAAACGGCTAAATCTAGCACCCTGAGAATAAGCAGAGGTTCATCAGGGAGACAATCGCAGTCACATAGCTTTTCTCTTTCTCATCAAAGTGGGGCACATCCACTTGGAGAAACAGAAGATGTGGATATTGAAAGAAGTAAAATGGATACTAAGAATTCCAAAAGGGTTTCTATAAAACGTTTGCTCTACTTGAACAAACCTGAGCTTCCTGTCTTATTGCTTGGATCCATTGCTGCAATAGTACATGGTGTTGTGTTCCCGATATTTGGCCTCTTGTTTTCATCAGCAATAACTACGTTCTACGAACCTCCAGTAAAACAGCGGAAAGATGCTAGGTTCTGGTCACTTTTGTATGTGGGTTTGGGAATAGTTACTCTAGTGGTCTTACCAGTTCAGAATTACTTCTTTGGCATTGCTGGTGGAAAATTAATAGAAAAAATTCGTTCACTGACATTTGCAAAGGTTGTGCACCAAGAAATAAGCTGGTTTGATGATCCTGCTAATTCAAGGTATGTTTACAAGATACCTTTATTATCAAGTATTGATCCTTTCTACACATGAAACTGAAAGAAGTGAATCACTTTCCAGTGGTGCAGTTGGAGCAAGATTATCTACTGATGCTTCAACAGTGAAAAGTCTTGTCGGTGACACCTTGGCCCTCATTGTGCAAAACATATCAACAATCACAGCAGGTCTAGTAGTAGCATTCACTGCTAATTGGATTCTTGCTCTCATAATTCTGGCTGTGTCACCCTTGGTCCTTATGCAAGGATTCCTTCAAATGAGGTTTTTAAAAGGATTCAGTGCAGATGCTAAGGTTAGCCTAACTTTCAATTTGTTGATTCCATGACACTAATGAAATTATACATTATGGACAAGATGAGATATTTTATCTAATAATATGTAGGTTAAGTATGAAGAGGCAAGTCAGGTGGCAAATGATGCCGTTGGTAGCATCAGAACCGTGGCATCATTTTGTGCTGAATCCAAGGTGATGGATATGTACAGGAAAAAATGTTTAGAGCCCGAAAAACAAGGTGTTCGGTTGGGACTTGTTAGTGGTGCAGGATTTGGTCTCTCTTTTTTGGCTCTATACTGCACAAATGCTTTTTGTTTCTACATAGGATCTGTTCTTGTGCAACATGGGAAGGCAACTTTTTCTGAGGTTTTCAGGGTACAATCAGCTTTTCAACTTGGGATGCTTCATCTTCATTTGATGTTTCTATTGATATAGTTCTTACAAGAAAATTTGTGGCAGGTTTTCTTTTGTTTGACAATCACAGCAATTGGTATTTCCCAGACTGCTGCCTTGGCACCAGACACTAACAAGGCCGAAGATTCAGCAGCTTCAATATTTGAAATTCTTGACAGAAAACCTGCTATTGACTCCAGCAGCAATGAGGGTAGAACACTAGAAACTGTGGCTGGTTATATTGATCTGCAATATGTCAGCTTTAATTACCCAACTAGGCCTCATGTTCAAATTTTCAAAGATTTGTGTCTAAGCATTCCTGCTGGAAAGGTAATCATCGCTTTAATAATAGCTTTTGGGTAGTGTGAATCAACTTATTTGAAAACATGTGGTGTAATTACATTGTTGATATACTTAACTGTAGACTGTTGCCTTGGTTGGAGAAAGTGGTAGTGGAAAATCAACAGTGATTAGCCTCTTAGAGAGATTTTATAACCCTGATTCTGGACGTGCACTACTAGATGGAATGGACATAAAAGAGTTCAGACTAAACTGGTTGAGGCAACAGATGGGTTTGGTCGGTCAAGAGCCTATTCTTTTTAATGAAAGCATTCGTGCCAACATAGCATATAGCAAGGAGGGAGGTGCTACAGAGAATGAAATAATTGAAGCAGCTAAAGCAGCCAATGCACACGAGTTCATAAGTTCTCTTCCAAATGGTTATGACACCAATGTTGGAGAAAGAGGCACGCAACTTTCCGGAGGGCAAAAACAGCGTATTGCCATTGCAAGAGCCATGCTGAAAGACCCCAAAATCCTTTTGCTTGATGAGGCAACTAGTGCACTTGATGCAGAGTCAGAGAGAATAGTCCAAGAGGCTCTAGATAGAGTTAGTGTGAGCAGAACCACTGTAGTGGTAGCTCACCGTCTTACAACAATTAGGGGTGCTGACATGATAGCAGTGATAAAAAATGGGGAGGTTGCAGAAAAGGGTAGGCATGATGATTTGATGAAGATCACCGATGGAGTTTATGCATCATTGGTAGCTCTACACATGAGTTCATCATAACGTGTAAGAGTTCCTATGAAGCACCAATGCTTCAAAACTGTTCTCAGATACTTTTTGATACTTCATTTATCATCATTTTTTTAGTTCTGTACTAATAAAAGTACAGTGTGACAATGATTCGAAAAACTGTAATTTTTTATAGTAGTTATAGATAGTAATGAAGTTGATTAATGAGACTATCTAGTTAGTTATATTGACGGTTTGATTAATGATATTTATTTTGTCACCAAATCCCGAGTATGGTCAATCTGAAAAAGGTGATCTTACAAGGTAATAATAGTTATTATCTCTTCAATTTTTGCAGTATATCACAGTTGAGGGTACATCAACTTTCTGTTTGCCTTGTGAAGAAGACTGTGGTGTGATCATACCAATTTGAATTCTAAAGGAGCAGTGTGTGTGTGGGAAATACAATCCATGCTTCTATCATGCATTGACTTAGCTCCAGAAGATCGCAGTGGTGTCAATTTAGAGACTTGTTCCAATGTGGAAACCGATTTCTGTCATGAATTAGTTTATATTTCTTTAACATTAGATTTGTTTTCATAGTTTTATTGATTTATGTCTGTGAATAGAATATAAAGTCAGGGTTACTGAATGGAGTGGTGTTTGCAGTTGATACTAATCCAAATATGAAATAGTTTTCAGAATGAACCTATTACAATATCTTCTGTACAAGATTTTTCTGTATCAACATAGGTTGCAAAGGAAGTTGCAAGTCCTTCTAGACACTTGATTACTTTGCTACTATCATCCAGATAGTGTTTATCATATTTAGTTTCTGACCAAATTTGCAATAACAGTAAAAATATAAAACCAAATTCAAAACTTTTCCTCATTTTGGCATTTTTTCAAACACCCAATTGGGTTCTTATGGTGATAATGTTATATAAAGATCTGTCAGAATATGCTCTATTTTTTTTTTATACTAAATTATTCTGTTTTAAATCATATGCCACGTGTCTTGTATTTTTATTAATTTTGAAAGCATCTCCAGAAGCAAAGTCAAAAAATGCATCTTAAAGCGAGGTTATATTTTCAGTATCTGTCAGATTTGACTCTAGTATTTAAATCCATATGGCTGAATTCAATATGGAACCATATCCTTGATCAAGATTCCTTCTTTTTTCAGCATCATCAAAAATATTTTTTAACCTGCTGCCTGCCAATGGACAATGCTTCTTGGTTTTGGTATTTATATCTTTGATCCATTTTTTTAGCTTTATTTTATGCTAGCAGCATTTTACTTTCGTAAATAACATAAAGATAACCATCAATCAATACCATTTTAATTTGATCTATTACCCAAAGAAACGAAACTGATGCAGGAATTCTATCCCATTTTAGTTTGTATAGGCGTAAAAATACCCCTAATACATCCATTGACAAGAAGGTTTATATGTCAGAATAATAAAAAGATAACACGTAGATTGTATAATTGTATAATTAGTTAGGTTAAATTTTAAATGTTATTTAATAAATAAATAACCTAATTTTTCTTTAAGAATGTTATTTTTCAATTTAATTTTTTACAACTAAGTAAATCTCTTAATAATATAATAACAAATTTTATTAGTAAAACTCGAACTATAAACTACAACTTAAAGTGGAATAAATTTCTACTTGATCTACATGCTTAATAATAAATAATGATCAATATTACTTAAACCTACCTTACACTCAATTTTCTTAATTCAACAAAGAATCGACCAATTTGATAGTAATTTGCGTAGCTCAAGAACCAAACTCAAGAAAATAATATGTGATTTAATTAATCTAGTTCCTATAATACAATATATATTATTAATAATTTTTCATATATTATTATCAATTTAATTTTTTTATCATTCATGAACGATTATTAGATGATTTGAGTTAGATCACTCACGTTTTGTAACACATTAATTTTAATCTTCACGAAATACGAAATGTGTGTGGTGAAGAGATTTTAACATTCTAATTTTTTTTACAATTATTATTATCCTTCACGAAATACGAAATATTATTATTCCGATTACTTGTTTTCTTTGATCAGTGCTCTGCCATCAACCATACGAATTGGTAGAATTGATTATATTATGAAAATATAGTCTTGAAATTGCAAAAGTCAGTGAGTTTCTATTTACCTTCTTTTCAACGCTGTATCAACCCATTTCAGTGTCTTCTTCTTCTATCTTAGACTACGGGCTTCACTTTAGTGCCTACTCTAATAATAATTTCTTTGCTTATTATTAAAAAATAAAACAGTAAATACACGTTCTATTTTGAAATGGACTATAAAAACATATATCATCCTTAAATTAAAGGCCACATATTAAACAACGAATCGACACCTAATTTGATGTTAGGACATCTTTAAAGGGTACTTAATATATTTTTTAAATAATCAACCGAGCTGAGGTGGAGATCATAATTGGTACGATTGCTTAAATACATAACCATTGCTTGACCAAAAAAATTTATAAGATCAAGTTACAAAATTTAAATTTAAAATAAATGTTAATAATGTATAAAAGCATGAAATAATTGTGAGGCTCATTTAATATAATCTTTAAATGAGTGATGAGATATTGTAGGATTCACATACAAATTAATAAAATAAAATTTAAACAAAGTTTCGCTATTAAAAATACTTTACAAAAATTGTGTCACCATTTCATCAAAATTATACCCATCAATTGTACATGTGATCTTTTAGTGGAACGTATACACTTGCATTACGAATTGATGTCATGTAACCAAACAGCATGCCAGGAATTGAAAGATAGGTAGATAGAGAAAGAGAGAGTATATATTATACGTTGATGGCTTTGAAACCGCAATGTGTGTAGTTGTTTAAAGGACAAAATTTGAGTGTATCTTAGTTATTTGAGATGCTGTATCTTAGTCAGAACATAAAGTTTTATTTCAATAGTCTATAGTGATTTGTAACGCTGATTTTGATTACACAAATTACAAAGTTGCACTTCTAAATTCTTACTGAAAAGTAAAAGTAGAAGACAATAAATAATATATCTAATTTTTGGCCTCCCTTGAAGAACGGGTGCATGTGAAACGAGTATGATAATAAAATATATCGATACCATTATAACTTTGATTAATAATATTTTTTAATATAAATACTAAAATGAACGGTTTTTCCATATAAAAATTAAAATTAAAAAAATGAAAATTTAAACAAAAGAAAATAAGATTTCCGTGAATATCTCAAAAATGTAAATATACAGGTGTATAAATTTACGTGAATACAATGCCTGTAAGGTGTGCTTAGAAGAAGAACCATGGTATCCTCTCAAGTAGTGAGATCTGAGAGCTCTGAAGAAGCAATGTTGAGTGTTCAAGAGCTCATTAAGAATCCACTAACTTCACTTCCTCATTGCTATATTCAATTAGACAATCATGAACCTTCATCACCATTCCAAGATCATGCAATCCCAACCATCAACCTGAAAAATTTGATTCAAGGAGAAGCTACAGAGCAAGAACTACAGAAATTGAACTCAGCTTGCAGGGATTGGGGTTTCTTTCAGGTTTGCAAAATGCCTTCTACACTCCATCTTATTCATTCTATGTTATCTATTAATTAATTTTCCAATCAACCTAAACTATTTATCCATGTAGTTGGTGGATCATGGAATTAGCCCGCTAATGCTTGAAACTCTTAAAGAGGAGACTGAAGGATTCTTCAAGCTTCCCTTAGAAGAAAAGATCAAGTACAAGATAAGGCCAGGTGATGTTGAAGGCTACGGAATTAGTCTAAGCAAATCAAAAGATCAAAAACTTGATTGGGGTGATAGGTTATTCATGACCACCAACCCTCATAGTATAAGAAAACCACATCTTTTCCCAAAGCTTCCTTCATCACTTAGGTATATATGTATATATATTTATAAATATCATCTCCCTCACTCATTATAAATTGTCCTTCTCACTGCATGGATATTTTGATCACTTGATATGTATCACACACATATATATGCAGGACGATCTTAGAATCATATATTTTGGAAATGCAAAATCTTGCCAAGATACTTGTAGGGATGCTAGGAAATATGTTGAAGATAAATGAGAGAGAGTTAGAGGGGTTTGAGGATGGGATACAGAATTTGAGAATGAATTACTACCCTCCATGCCTACAACCTGAACTAGTTGTGGGTCTCACTGCTCATTCAGATGCATCAGGAATCACTATCCTTAACCAAGTTAATGGAGTGAATGGCCTACAAATTAAAAAAGATGGCATTTGGATTCCGGTCAACGTTAGCTCAGATGCCTTTATTGTCAATATTGGGGATATTCTAGAGGTTTGATATCATCCTCTCTTTCATATTTTGTTCTGAATTCATAGCCATTCCCGTTTTGTTTTTACTATTTCTACTTTGATATTTAAATTAAAACACATACATCAATAATTTTCCTGCTCTTGGATTGGAATTCTTCCCTATATATATGTAAAATACTGACCTCAGATAAGAAGCGACATTTTAAAATACACAATTTATGTTGTTTATGACTTGATTAAATATTAATGAATCGGAATAAAATTCATTCTTGATCATGGTTTTTTATAAGACTACATAATGGTCCTTTGATTATTTCAAACAATATTGCTGATAGTGCAGGGTATAGTTGTTGGAAGATGTAGTTGCAAAATGGTGCTGGGTAAGATCTGTATATGCGTTACAGTTCTTTCTATATTTTGATACAAAAAAATTTTTGCTTTATAAATATATATATATGAATAAATATTAAAGTTTAATGTTACCATATTCATCATCTATGTGTTATGTCTGTGCGTAAAAATAGGTCACATGATCAGGCTATAAGTTTACTTTAGTATGACATTTATTAAATAAAAAACCTGAACCTGATTTAATTAATTTAGTCATTGTTAAAATTTGTCTTGATTCAATCCAATCCTTTCAAATTTATAACCTAGCATAAAAATTAATATAATACATTTTAAATAAACTAATAAACTTCTCTCTTTTTGTCTATATATATATATATTAGTAATTAATTGTACCTCTACATGTTATCTGCTAAATATTAATAACAAACCGCCGAATCCAACAAACGCAAAATTTCTCCTATGACAAATTGTGATATCTTCTATTTATTTCATCAGATCTTTTGAGTATAAAACAACCATATACAGTTTAAAACACAAATATAAATTTAAATGTGATAACTAAATTACCTTAGCTTTTAATGATATTATTTGAAAAGGAATTATATTATTTATATAGTATTTTCTAATAATAGTTTTTAACATTATTTTTCTTTTTATCTCTCTCATCTTGTGTATAAATTTTACAAAGTCGAAATATAACTATCATTTCTCTTTTGGAAAACCGAAGTGGACACAGATCCTGTTCAGAATGAATATGCTTTTCGTATCACAACAATATGTTGTAAGAAAGAAGTGTTCATTAATTTATTAAATCTCAAGGATGATTAATTGGTGCATGCCGATTGACTAAAATGAAAATAGAAAATAATAAGTAGAAAAATAAATAAAATAAGAATAATTTTTTGTCAACATATCTTGATAATAATAGAATATGTACTAAATGTGATTTGATTTGCAGATTATGAGCAATGGGTTATATAAAAGTGTTGAGCACAGAGTAACAGTGAATTCAGAGAAGGAAAGGATTTCTATTGCTATGTTCTTCAACCCCAAGTTTCAATCTGAAATTGAACCTTCAGTTAATCTCACAAACCAAGAAAATCCTCCACTGTATAAAAGGATCAAAATGGAGAAATATCTCAAAGACTTTATGAATCGTCGTAAGCTGGACGGAAAGTCGTACTTAGAGCATATGAAGATCACAAATTAACATACTACCACGCCACCCTATAGCTCCTGCAATTGGTATCAAATTACAAAGTCTATGTGTGCATAATCGATGTATAAAAGACTTGGTATGTATTCGTTAAAAATTCTGTAAACGTAGATCCAATGTAAAAGCTATAACACCACTCAAACATTGATATAAAATTTTGTTACATGCTCTACCAGCTAGTAACACTATATATACCTATAAGCTCTTCTATGTGAAACATTTGCCATTATGTTTAAAAGTACAGAAATCCCTTTCAGAAGAAATTTAAGGCAAATGTGTACTACTACTAGAGAAATCTAAATGCAAAATTTATTTCCGGGATTTTGAGTTTCACTATCTACTATTTTTATGAAATAGGTGGCACCATCATTGTCTTAGATTATGGAATTTATACTAGAATTGTTGACAGAGCTTGAGACAGGAGAAATGCAAAGTAGTATATTTATCTGTATCTCAAATGTGTACAAACCAATTCTTTTCAAAGTTTTAATATTTGAAATTCTTGATAGCAATACTAGTGATTGACTCCAACTGAGGGCAGAGTAATAGAAGCTGTTGCTGGTGATGTTGAACTTCAACATGTGATATATTGCATTCTGTCTACGGAATATGGATCAATGATAAAACGCCATTTTCTTCATCATTTAAACGCATAACGGCTAGTTGTTTGTTTACACCTCTGCATTCATTATATTATACTTTTTTCACGTGTTAAAAATAATAGAAATCTTTGGAGAGTAGTTATTTACGATGAAAAATGTCAATTATAAACAAATAAATCCAAGAGTAATTTGGGAGATTGAATTTTAGGTCCTTTTGAGTTCTTTTAAGTGTGTTGTAATTAAAATAATTGAATAAACATCATAAAACACAGAATTGAACAAGAATAGTAGAACAGTGGAATAGAAACAGTAAATTGAAACGTGAAGGTTTACACTAGTACTGAATAAGACTAAAATTGCAAGAAATAAATGTAGAATGAACTAAAAATAAAGAGCATAAATGTAAAAGTGTAAGAATGTAAACGTAAGACTCCTAGGAACAACAAACAACAACAATTGCATCTCCTAATAGGTAGTATCTGACTCGGTGCAGAATTTCAGCATGCAGAGAGTTTATGTGTAGTGTCTGGGTGCAAAAAGTCGTTTCCTGTTATGTAAATTTTTTTTTGTATTTATAGACAGATGAACCACTCCTGATCCTTTTTTTTTCGCAATCACTTCTCAGCAACTATCTTCCATACATGCTTGCCTTCAACCGCTGCTGTCCATTATCTAGGATTGTTTATGATCGTGTTGTCGATTGGGGCTTCTTTCATAACTATTATCGCCTACAATTCTCTGTCGTGTGTTAAACCTCTCATTGATGGTAACTATTGATAACTATTTTGAGCCTTGTAACTCTTTGAGCTCTATCATATCTTTTGTGAACTTAGAATATTTTCATTTAAGTTTTTATTTTTTGACCCATTCTGGAAAAAATCTGAGAGCTTGATGAGAAGGTTGTCGCTAATCCTCATCAAAATATAAACAGAATTAATGTGAATCAACCTAGGTCGTCTCCTATGAATCATTGGATGAGTGACCAAATATCAAATATATGGTGTGCAATGTATTTGAAAAATAAGGAGTGTTTGGTTGTGGTTTTAAATCCTTAAACATTCAAATTAGATTAATCCCTAGTTCATCCACAGTTGGTTCGATCATTAGTTAACCAAGAATTAAATATTAATTCTCTCACAAACTTGAATTAATTAGAACAATTGTCAATTAATTCTTGGATTCTCATGCAAGATTAAGCAAATTATATGAACTCCAATCTCTGGTCCTTTAAATTAAGCAAACCTAAAACCTAATTTAGAATTAAGCAAACTAAACTATGAATCTCTTGTTAAAAAAAAAAACTCGGATTGAATTAAGCAAACAACTCTTGTTCAAATCCTAACTTTGATTTCAAGATATTAGGAAAAATAAAATTTGTACAAGTGGAAATTCGTATTAACAATCAAATCCAAACTTCAAGAACCATTGTGAACCATACCAGGAATTAATTTTCAAAACATAGCTTTGCATAAAGATGAAATCCAACATTACAAGCATTTGATGTTTAAAAAACTAGAAAAACAAAGTGAGAAAAGGAAAAGAAATGAAAACCCTAAAAATGAAGTTCTTGGGCAGCTGCCCAAAACTCCTAACCGAATCCTATAAAAGTGGGGAAATGAAAAATTACAATAAATGGTAAAAGATCTTACCCTAAATGGTAAAAATCCTATTTATAGTATAGTTAACACCTTCCAAAGTAGTTACTATCAATGTTGATAGTGTTTACGCGCAGTTCCATAAAGTTCTCCCTTCTTTGTAGTGTTCACTTTCATAAGTACTGCGCATAATCACTATGGTGAATAATAGTGAACACACGCAGCCTTTAAACTCTGGTCATGTGTGTCGTGTTTACTATGATTGATGAAAGTAAACACGCACATCCTTCATTACTTTGGGGCCATCTGTAATGTTCACTATCATTGATGATAGTGAACATGGGCAAGTCTGCGCCTTTCCTTTAGATTTGTAGTGATTACTGTTACTTTTAAAAGTAGTTACTTTGATCTGTCCCATGGAAATGACTTGTTGTAGTGATTACTATAGGGCTTGAAAGTAGTTATTTTCACTTTATATTTTTTTTTCAAGAGCCAAAAATTCATAGAATTTGTTTGGAAATTACTGCACAATTATTCAAGTGATCAAAATTACAAAATATGTTTACAGAAATCGGTGTAAATTGAATAAAAATTAAGAAAGCTATGATAATTGACCTAAATGAAAATTTTATACTATTTACCATTTCTAAGTTCATTTTTCTATTAAAAATATATAAAAAGATAAACAAAATATCTATAAAATATAGATTCATCAGAACTCTTTTAATCCTATGAACTTAGAATAATTTCTCTCTCAATTTATATTTTCTGACCAATTCTAAAAGAAATCTATGAGCTCATTCAGTCTCGTGAACTTAGAATAATTTCTTTCTCAATTTCTATTTTTTTACTAATTCTGGAAGAAATTTGAGAGCTCATTCAGTCTCATAGACTTAAAATAATTTTCTTATTAATTTTGATTTTTGAGTGATTCTGAGGGAAGTTTGAGATCATATTCAATTTTGTGAAATTAGAATATTTTTCTTGTCAATTCCTATTTTTTTGACTAATTTTGAGAATTATAAACTTGAAAAATCCTTCAAAAACTCTTCAAAAGACTTTCAGTCTTATGGACTTAAAATAATTTTCTTGTCAAGTTTATTTTTCGACTAGTTTTGGTTATTTCTAGTTTAGGGATTAGAAGATCCTTAGAAACTTCTCGAAAAGGCCTTCTTTTCAACAAAGAATGAGGCTTTTCTTTTGACCCTATGGAAACTCTTCAAAATGTGGTTTCTTCATCATGACAAGATTCTTCTAAATCCTCCCAAAACATCTCGAAAAAGTGGAACCTTTCAACAAGTTTCTTAGGATATAGTCTTTTTCTTATAGCAGATGTCTGACAAGGACTTCATAACTTAAAAAATTTTCTTTTTCTCAAACAGTAATGATAACAAATGCATTTTTTTATCATTTACATGCATTATAGTTTGCTGCAGATATTCTACTATTGTGTATTTATAATAATTCCTTTTCTGCAGTATTAATTTATCCTTAATTTTCTTCTTCATAAATTCAATATATACTCTGCTCCTTCATTCATTGCTATGTTAATTACATTTTGATCTCCTCACTTCAAAATCTTTTAAAGCATTAGGCTCTTAAGAAGTGTATAATTTTACGTGTACCATTGGCATCTTACTATTGTTTTAACCAATTTCAGTGTTTTAATATAATGTACTTTACTTCGCTCACATTATTTTGTTTGCATAGTTTGTTCGCTGTCCTTTATGGTGGTTAATTATAGTAGGATATAACAGGTAAAAGAAGAGGAAATTAGAGATATTGGTAACTATGTGTATATTACAAGAATCTTATCCTATGTATGAACTATTTAGTTTTCTTAGGAATATAGTGTGTAAACCTTTTAATTTTACAAAATTTTATTAATGTAAATTGATAAGTGCTAAGTTTGAGCAAATGTTTGCATGAAATTAAGTGTTTAATTATTTCAATAATTTGAATTTAAATGTCAATTCCCTTTCAATTAGTAGAACTTGAATTCAGTAAACTAATTTAAGTTAAAAATTAAGATGAAGGTTCATTTTGATCCCTTTTTATAATTTGTTTAATTTACAGTAGGTTAATGAGGATAGAAACAATTGGCAGATGAAGAATTGATCCAGATCCTTTCTTGATTCAAGCAAAAATTTCTTGCTTAAGCAAGAATATTTTTTTGGCTTGAACAAAATTTTCTCGCATGAACGAATATTCATTTATTCCACTTTTAAGGAAAGAGAATTAGAAGAAAGGGGATCAAAGAGTGTGAAAAATAAAGCAATTAAGGGAGAGTTAGGACAAGGAGTATTGGGCATCATTCATCCTATCACCTTTTTTTCTCTTTCTTGTGTTGTAATGACTACTATAAGTAGTTAAAACTCTTTTGGGATTGAATATAATCTTCTACTCTAAAATATTTTAATAATTTATTTATAATATTCATTTTTTATAAATGTTGGTAATTTCGTTCATTTTTAGTACTTGATTATATTCTTTATAATAATTTTTTTTATTTAGAATTTAATGTTTGGCTAGAAAACAAACTTTGAACCTGAATTTAATGAAACAGACTCAATGTATTGTAATGTTAAGGATAAATTTTAATATATTAATTATTTTTTAACTCTTATTTTTAATGTTAGAGGATTCATTGAAATTGAAGAATCATTATTCAATGAATATCTTTAAAACCCTTATATGTGAGAAATTGATATAGAGAAACATTAAATAAATGCTTCTACATTTATAATTTTATACTTAAGTGTTTGTTCATTAAAATATTGAAAAAAAAGAATGATGA